CGGGAGACGGGCGAGAGAGGGAGAAGGCTGAAAAGAAGGACTGCTGTGCTGGTCATCGTGGGGAGGTCTGGAGGTGGTCCGTGGATACATATCTCCCCATCAAAATTAAAAGAACGCAAACAGCAGCAGCAGTAGCATGTCGAGGAAGAGGGAGAGCAACTGACGAACGAACGACCTTGACAGAGAACTTTCAACAGCGCTTGTTGACAGAGGAGCAGCAGCGGCGAATGGGAGGGGGGAGAAAAAAAAAAGGAGAGAGGCAGTACGGGGGTTCGAACCCCGGCTGATGGATTCAAAGTCCATAGTCCTAACCACTAGACTATACCGCCTACATTTCGTTGTGGTGGGCAGGGAAATTTTGCTTATTCTAATGACGGCACAACTTCGGGTTGCCCAAAAAAAAAAAAAAAACACAAACAAAACACACAACAACATTGTCCACTCACAGCGCAACAGCACAACAGCACAACAGCACCACAGCCAGCCATGAACGCCCACGTCCTCCTCGACGTTGCCTTGCTCGTCGTCCTCGTCTTCTCGACATCGTGCCAAGCAGGTGTAGCACCTTTTGTCTTCAGCTTGTGCCTCTTCTTGCTTACCGCGGGGATATGACATTCCTTCCTCCCATGTCCCTGTCGCTCTCTCTCTCTCTCTCTCTCTCTCTCTCTCTCTCTCTCTCTCTCTCTCTCGTTCGTATCTCTGCCTCTCTGTGTGTCTCTCTCTGTCTGCCTCTCTCTCTCTCTCGTTCCGTATCTCTGCCTCTCTGTGTGTCTCTCTCTGTCTGCCTCTCTCTCTCTGTCTGTCTCTCTGTCTCTCTTTCTCTGTCTCTCTCTGTCTCTCTGTCTTTCTGTCTCTCTCTTTCTCTCTGTCGCTCTGTCTCACACTCACATCACACACACACACCCCGTCTCTGGTCCATCCATTACCCCAAATAGATGTCAACGACGCGAGTCGCTGTCACTTGCAGTTTGTGACGGAATCCAGCACTGCCACGACTCCGGAGCAGAAGTGTGGTGCTTTCTTCCGCCTCGTGGTATGTACGCAGTATTCTTGCGCATGCGACATAAGAAGAACAACAACAACAACTTAAACAACAACAACAACAACAACAACACCAACAACAACACCAACAACAACAACTTAAACAACAACAACAACTTAAACAACAACAACAACTTAAACAACAACAACAACTTAAACAACAACAACAACAACAACTTAAACAACAACAACAACCCACGCACACACACACACATGTACACCCACATTCACACACTCAAACGTGCACTATTTCACGCTCTCGCACGTCCTCTTCCTCCCACCCCGCCTCCACCGCTGCCAGCAATGCAACGACGATGCCGTGAAGACGGCCAGTACAGAAGATGCCGCGCTCATCCGCCAAACGCAAGACGAGGTTGCCGCCTCCCTCGGACTCGACTGCACCCCATACGAGGGACAAGGTCGCGTGGAGCGCTCCATGTACCCTGCCCTTGCTGCTGCTCTCAGTGCCTGCATCGCCTTGTCATCCCTCGCACACGTTGCTCATCCCCATCACCGTCACCGCCGCCACCACCACACCCGGCGCAGTGCCGGCCAAGGAGCCCCAAGTGTATTCGCACAACGGGAGCCTCTACTTTGAGGTGGACGAATCAAAGGTGCGAAAGATATCCGCTGTGTGTGCTGGGGGAGGGGGAGGTGATTGGCTGAGACAGCGCGGGATGCACGAACGCACAACGTGGGTTACAATCAATAGCCATGCACCAAACAACGCCTCACAACCAGACAACCCCTCTTCTAACACACACACACACACACACACACACACACACACACACACACACACACACACACACACATCAGTCGGTGACATTTGTGCGTTCGCGTCGCGAGGTGATCACCCCGTGGTCTTTGGCAAGCGAGCTGGATTCCACAAACGCGTAAGAACAAGTACCCGCTGCAACAGTCACGCACAACCCGCACACCCTAACACCTGCGTAATCCACCCACCGTGCTCTCTTTGCACCCGCCCTGGCGGACTTTCCAACTCTTCGTCTCACGTACACACCACGCGATGACACCACCATCAGCCGGGTTGATGATCTCTCCATGGCAGTTGCAACTGCCACGGAAGCACAGTCAACAGAACGCGCATCATTCCTCGGTATGTCATCCATGTGTGCGTGTGCGCATGTGTGTGTGCGTTCATGTGCTTGTTGAGGTCGCGCCCTGATTGCAATGTCTTCGTTCAAACAAACATACGCCACAGCATAGCACCGTAAGGTTCCTGCAGCGCACACTTTTTTGCATATCTCAACCTCGCTGTATCTGCAATATGTGCGTTGGACCCATTCACCAAATCACCAAATCCTTTGTTCCACTGCACAGACTTGGTGGCTGCCATGACGACGCAGGCCGTCCAGTCTGCCGAATCCGTCCTTTCGAACGTCAGTGTGCACGTGCACCTTGGCTCTGACTGTTCACTGCTTCTTACCAACGTTTTCAAGTCACCTAGCAGTGTGATAACGCACGCTCATCCCTCCATCTTTTAACCCGCTTGTCATCATTGTTGCGTGCGTGTGCTGTCAGGCTGCGACCATTGCCGAAGTGTCTGCTGCCATCTCCAACGAGACGTCGCGTGCAGTCACCGCAGAGGAGTCCATCCACTCGCAGTTGGTGCGCGCACACGCCAAACTTTGATTCCTCTTGCCCCTTCCCCACCGACACCACACCACACACTCATATACACACACACACACTCACTCACTCACACTCACACACACTCACTCACACACATACAGGATGGACTGTCGTCGCATGTGAGCTCAAAAGTGCTGAGCCTGGAGAGCTATGTTGGTGCAGTTTCCAATCAAGTAGTGCAGGTGTGTCACGACGTTGTTCGTGTTGTTGTGCCTGCTCACGGTTCTCGACTGAACCACGAGCACCACAACTGCGACTGCGCGAATACGCGCGTGCAACTCACACAGGCATATTGGGTTCGTTTTCTCAATCATACACACTGTCTGTCTGTTCTGTCTCACACGACCCCTCCCCTCCGCTCTCTTTGCCCCCCCCCATCTCTTCTCTCTGCCCCTGTTCCCCCTCTTTCTCTTCTCTCTGTCCTTGCTTCTCTCTCCCTTCCTTCCCTCCATTTCTCCTTTGCGCCAGAGCGCGGGCTCGCTCGCTGCCGCTATTTCGTCCATGGAGGACGCTGTTGGCGACAACGTAGACGAGGCGCTTGGAAAAGTCTCGGAGCTGCGCACTCGCGTCGAATCAACCGAGGACTCGGTACAGTAGTCAGATCACGCACGCATGTGTATGTGTGCGCACACACACATGTACACACATGTACACACATGTACACACACGCACGCATCAGCTCGCTTGATTGCCCGCTGACCGCCTTCCATGCCCCCCTCACACGTTTGCTGCTGCTCAGATCACGTCGATGGTGTCGTGTGGCGTGCAAGGCCAAGTGTTCAACGGTGTTGGCTGTGACGGCGCACAGGCAGGCTCGTCCTCCCAGGTAAACGCACTGTTTGTGTGTATGTATGAAATGTATGTATGTATGTATGTATGTATGTATGTATGTATGTATGTATGTATGTATGTATGTATGTATGTATGTATGTATGTATGTATGTATGTATGTATGTGTGTGTGTGCATGTGTGTGTATATGTGTATGCATGTATGTGTGTGCATGAAAATATGTGTATGTATGTGTATTGTCGTGTACGCTCGTAAAGCCCGTGCGTGCCTGACTGTGTGAGTGGTGCTTGCTTAATACGTGGGCTGGTTTTGGGCGCACTCCTGACGCCTCGTGCATTGGCATTTGCTCCAGTGCACATCGGAGTCTGTGGGTCTGGTGCGCGCGCAGAACGGCCAGCTGAAAGGTGAGATGACCAAGTCGAGCCCCTCACACACACACACACCCGCCCCCCCCCCTCATCGTTTCCAGCAAACCCACACGTGCAACGGACACGAACACACTCGAACACGTACACATACACTCACACACGCACATACACGTGCTTTTGCGTTGCTCGCATGTCCAACATGCCCCATGTAACGTTTCTCACGCCGGCTGCACTGCGCACCTCTGCGTCATCAGTGTGCACGAACAACGACGGCTCGTTTGAGTTTGTTGCCTTTTCCATCGGTCAGTCCTTCCCCCTCGGCTCCTTCTCCAACCCGGCACCATCCGCAACGGTACACACACAGAGAGAGTGTGTGTGTGTGTGCGTGTGTGTGTGTGCATGTGTGTGTGTGTCTGTGTCTGTGTCTGTGTGTGTCTGTCTGTGTGTCTGTCTGTGTGTGTGTCTGTGCGATGACGTGAGCTTTGCAGTGTCTTCCTACATTCGCTCCAACAGGCCCAACTGCACCCGTGAGCCACCTTCTTGCCCACCCTCCTCCCTCTCACCACCACTACAACCACGGCAGGCCATCCTGCAAGCGAACACCAATGCAGAGTCGGGGCTGTATTGGATTCAGCCCGCCAACGAGTACGCACCAGCCCTCACGTATTGCGACATGTCATTCCAAGGTAGTACAGTGCCGCCGCTTTGTGTGTGTGTCTGTGTATGTGTGTGTCTGTGTGTTGTGTCTGTGTGTGTGTCAGCTGTGTTGTAGGCACGTGCGAGAGACTGCGATGCCATTGTGATGGTACTTGATTCGGCGTGTGTTCACGGTCTTGTTTCCTTTCTCACGGTGTGCCTTGCAGGTGGCGGCTACATGCTCGCTGCCTACGGCCACATCCACTCGTCATCCAGCCACGACCGCAACCGGTGTGTCCTCTGTGTGTGTGTGTGTGTGTGAGTGTGTGTGTGTGTGTGTGTGTGTGTGTGTGTGTGTGTGTGTGTGTCTGCATTGTGTCTGTTTATGTATCGGCCACACCTCCACATAACACTCAACACCCGCACCCCTTTCTGATCCGTGTCCTCTTCTGTTCGCGTTTGCCCTTTGCGTGCATCTCACTCCTTTCACCCCTTGGCAGTGCCATTGCGCCCTTGAACCATCCCAACGGCTACAACTGGAGCCCTGGCGCCCGCGCAAACTCAAACGGTGTCATTGCCCTTCCCTTTGGTCAGTACACTCGCACGCGTGAGTGCGTGCTGTTTGTTCTCATCATCCCCAGTGTACATGCCATGCTTTACCAACGTACAGCATAACACGCGCCCTAACCTGCACACGCACCCACACCCACCCACACACACACACACTCTCTCTCTCTCTCTCAGACACGTACACACAATCTCTGTCTTTTGCCCTGTCTCTGTCTCTGCCTTGTCACACACATACACATACACACACGCACGCACATGCACACACACTGACACACTCTCGCTGTCTCTCTACTGATTTTCGCATTGGCTGTCCAGGGGCTGTGTATCTTGCCCGCCAGGCTGAGACAATGCTCATGGCAGCTGGCAACATCCCAGACAGGTGCAGTTGTGGTGTGCATGTGTGGTGTGCAGTTGGTGTATGCGTGCCTGTGCGTTTGCGTGTGCGTGTGCGTGTGTGTGTGTGTGTGCATGTGCGTACGTGTGTGTCTTCTTTTCTTGCTCTCACCCAAGACACTTCCCTCGCTTTCGCTTCACATACGCCCCCCTTTCGTGCTGACTGCCGTTGCAGTGGTGGCATCGACCAGTACACGCACGTGTATGAGATCTCCATCACACACGTGCGCTCGCACATCACCTTCAAGAATCACAACCGCGACAACGGTGCCGTGGGCGTGACGGGTCTGGCCAAGATGACGCCCGCCCAGTTCACGGTGACTGCCCTTCGCGGCGACAGCGGCACGCGCACGCGCTATGCACTTCGCGAATCACTGGGCGTGACCTGGTCGGACACGTATCCATCGGGTTATGGATTCAACGGCTGCGGCCTCACTTCATACTGCACCTGGGGTGACGGTGCGTTGCTGTGCTTTTCGTTCATTTGTGTGAGCGCTGGGGGACTTGCGCACTGTGTGGCTGTCTGTATGTGGGTGTGGGTGTCTCTCTGTGTGTCTGTGTGTCTGTGTGTCTGTCTTCGTGTCTGTCTTCGTGTCTGTCTTCGTGTATGCACGCGCACATACTCGTGGGCTTCGCGTGTTGTGTGTACATGTGTGGCCCTTTGCGACGGGTCTTGCTGTGCGTGGCCCTGCGAGGCGTTGAAGGCCGAAAACTCATGCACGCCACCGTGACGCGCTCCCTCACGCGCACAGGCCCCTTTTTTCCAAGCGTGCACAGCGGAGACCAGCGATGCAGCAGCTCGGTAAGGCGACTTTTATTCCCCGCTGCCATATTCCATGCTGCTCCCAAACACAAGAGCACACGAACACACACACAGCACACACACAAGGGCTTGCTCACTCGTTCGCGTTCTTCTTCAACACACGCACATGCACACCCACATACACATAGGCGAACAACTTCCAAGGCGCGGACGTTGCCTGTGGCAAAACAAACTATGTCCACCAAGGTGCGTGCTTGCATGCATGCATGTATGGGGGTGTGTGTGTGTACAACCGCGTGTGTGCCAATTGCTTCTGTGATGTTCGTGCAACACCACATTCTTCATCTCACTGTCACATTGTCACTCACCTTTCTTCTCCCTTCCAACTTCACACACACACACACACACACCACTAGGCTGGTACGGCATCGACAACGGCCAATACAACCGTGTTGGTCAAACCTCCATCTGGTTCAAGTGATGTGATGGGTCTCTGCAACAGCTGGCGTGACGATGACGCATTTCTTCTTCTTGTTTCCCCCCCCCCCAACCATGTGCAACAACACAGTGACATGACCTGACTGTTGTTGTATGATGTGACACACCATTTGATTGTGTGTCTCATCCATCGTGCGCACGTGTCAAACTGACATGCGTGCGTGATGCGGTGCGGTGTGGTGTGATATGATGGGCACGACACACGTTCGCACAAACGTCCGTCCATCCATCCATCCATCCATGACACATCCAAAAACTGGAGCTGACACCACAAATTATTTTCATGAGTCATCATGTTTTTTCTGCAATCGTTGTTGCGTTGTTCGTTCACGACGACAACCCCCACCCTGCTGCCTCTCATTCCTTTCCTTTCGTATCTCGTTCCTCTGCTTCTTGCACAGTCACCTGAGCCCGCCCTTGCTTGCTTGTTTGTTCTTGCTGTGTCGCTGCCACGTCTGCAGAAACAAGCACAAGGCGATCATTCGTTCGTGCAACTGATGACCGGTGTGGCTCTGACTCCGCTCGACTTGCACCACATTTATTTTCCGTCTGTCGTTCTTTCCGTTCATCCTCCCTTACAACGACGGCACCAAGAAAGCACAACTCGAAACGGGAACCGAGCAAGCCAGCCAGCCAGCCAGCCAGCCAGCCAGCCAGCGAGCCGCGACAACCCAAATCCAAACAACCACCACAACAAGGCATGCCGTACACGGTGGTGGACTTGTCGCCAAGCGTGGAGACCCCGCGAGAAGAAATCAACAATGCAGACGGGTAAGTGATGTGACAACAATCTAAGGACCAAGTGTCCTGATGGCATCCATGTTGTCCTGATGCCCCCCCCCACACACACACACACATAGGTACCAACGCACAAACGCACAAACGCACACACGCACACACGCACACACACACACGCACGCACGCACGCACGCAAACAACAGGTACTCACGCACTCACACACGCGCGCGCACATGCCCTTCCTTCGCACCATCGTTGCAGTGCGCTGACCAAGGCGCGCAACAACCTGGACGCGTTTGTGCCGTTGTTGATCCTCGATCCGTCCAATGCTGTCGACGTGTCTCTGTCAGACGGCGCGCTTGGCGTGCAGCACGCCATCGCTCAACGCACACCACTCCAGCCACGCCACATTGACGAGTTCAAGGTGGGCACGGACGGGCTGAGATCCCTCTCTCGTTTGTAGGTTTTGCAGGCACGCATGCCATACTGTCGCACACACGATCATCCATTCAGACTCACACACACACACACACACACACACACACACAATCCACAGCGGCTGCATGAAGCCATGGGCGCACTCGCTATTGTGCGCATCCCCACGGAGGAGACCTCACGCATCATGCCAAATGTGGCGGACGCGGAACTTGACTTCAACCCCATGGTGATTGATCCAAACGAGGAAGACACCGAGAACCAGATGCGTCGCCTCTGCAAGTTCTTCGAGGACATCATCGACATGGAGGACGGCCTGCAACAAGGCGTCGACATGTGCGGGTCCTGGATGACACACTTTCTTGTACGTCTCATATCCACACACAATATCAACCACAACACAACCAACCACACACAATCACACAAACACAATCAACCACGCACAGTCACACACAATCAACCACACACAATCAACCACACACACACACACACACGTATTCCATGGCGCGTATCAGACACATGCAACCCCCCACACCTCACCACATCTCACCCTGCCTCTCGTCGCCGCCTTTTCTTCCTTCCTCCCTTGTCCAATGCGCCCCCCCCCCGTCTTGCAGCACCCCATTGCACAAGCGCTCACACAGACTCAGACTGACATGGACAAGCTCTTGCGCACGGCCAGGCAACACATCGACTCAGAAGCTAACGTGCGTGACTCATCAACATCATCAATTGCATGCTTTTGCAACCATTCAACAAGCAAGCACCCTCCGCGCAAGCGTCTGGCGCATGTCGTTTGCAAAACAGTATTGATTGACTGATTGTGTTCCTGTGCGCCGTCAACACTGTGTGAAACCATACCATTCTCACATCATTCTTGCACCAATGCGCTCTAAAACCCCCCCCCCCACCACAACAACAACAACAACAACAACAACAACAACAACAAAAAATGCCATGCACTGATAGGAGGAGCTGGTGGAGAAAATGGAAGCGCTGCTTGCGGATTCTGCGACGATGACGGAGCACGCCCGCACACTGAGGACCGAGGTGGACGCGAGGACAGACACGCTGCGCAAGCTGCAGGAGGAAGTGGCACAGGACATTGCACACGACCGGGAGCACCTGGCCGCGATCCGAGCAGCCATTCAGGACGGCACGTTTGACCGCGACACGCTCGTTGCCCTCAACGAGGACGAAAGCCGGCTGGAGCTGGTGCAACAGTGTCTGATTGCCATCCAGAATGCATTCACGGAGCTGCAGGAAGCGACAGGCGACGCCATCAGGGGCCTGGCTGCGTGGCTGCGAAGTGCCAATGACACTGTCGACGACCACCGCCAAGCAATTGCCACGGCAATGCAAGACGTGAGTCACGAGCTGCAGCATGTTGCTTTTTCTGCTCGCTTATGTTGCTCCGCTTAACCCGATCGCTCCAATGCTCTCATTATTGGCACGCGTGGATGTCGTCTGCCAATGCAACTGCAACTGCACACACACACAACAACAACTACCAACAACAACACAACAACAACAGCAACAACACACAACGCAACGCAACACAACACAACAACACACAACGCAACACAACACAACGCAACACAACACAACACAACACAACACAACACAACACAACACACACAAGTAAAGGCATTCACACTGTCGCCAAGATATACCACGCGCATTCTCACCCATCCCCGCTGCGCTGTCTTTGTTCCAGGTGGATGGCGCGCCACTGAACATTGTTGATCATCACATGGCTCCCGGCTGCCAAACGGCTGTGTCCGTGGACGATGATGACGATGACGAGGAGAACGAGGAGAACGAGGAGGAGGAGAAGGAGGAGGAGGAGGAGAAGCAACAGGGAGGGTCAAAGGAGGAAGACGAGGAGGAGGAGGAGGAGGCAGCAGACGAAAAAGAGAACCGCGATGATGAGGACGAGGACGACGACGCAGTACCCACAGCTCACGTGCAAGATGCACCGGACGGCGAGGAGGAGAATGACACAGCCGCCGTCACAGACGCTACGGCCGCCACCAACGAGGACGCGCAGCTCAGTGATGATCTCATTGATGAAGAGTTTGTGCAAGTGACGGTTGATGAGCTGAGCATGTCTGAGGCACAGGCGCTGTTCCCGTCCCCGCCAAGCTCGCCCGTCGCCAGCGTGCATGTGCAAACGAGCACGGCGACCGCCTCGGACGTGCACGTGCAGACGGAACCGCAGGCGTCGCTATCAACCACGCCGCTCGTCGATGACAGCATTGTGGAGCACGGGCACGCGGGCAACGACGACTCCATGATGCAATCGTCCTTCATGGTGACATCCATGTCTCAGTCTGTCAACCCAGACAAGGCGCGGCAGACGACGCTGGCACTCATGCGCAGGAACGCCCGGCTCACGGAAAAGCTTCAAGACCTCAAAGCGCGACTCAAGTCCGTGCAGGCGCACGAGAAGGTGCTGATGAAGGACCTGAGCGTCGAGCGCGACAGGCGGGCACGCCGCGAATCAAGGCCGCCAGCAGCAGCAGCGACGGTTGCGCAGCAGCGGGTCAGCACTGGAGACGGCCCGGCGGTCGATGCACGCGCCAAACGCGCTGAGGAGATCAAGTTGGCGAGCCAGAAGATTGTGGAGGAACTGCGCACGAAGGTGCAGAGCACGGAGCAGGAGAACACAGAGCTCACGGCGCAGGTGCAGACCTTGCAGCAGGAGGTGGCCACGCTGCGCGCCGAGCTTGCACACGAGCAAGACTTGCGCAACGAGCACGCAAGCAGGCAGCAGGCGGCGGCCGACGACGGGGAGGAGATGATGGCCGCGCTTCGTGCACAGCTGGAAGACACAAAGAAAGCGCTTGCGCGCCGCAACGCAGAGGCATCACAGCTGCAGGCGCAGGTGGACTCGCTCACCAGCCAGCTCACCTCGTGCCAGGAGTGCCTTGATGCACAGCGCGACCGCGCCAACACACAGGAAGACGACGCACGCGCGCGTGAGCAGCAGCTGCATGCCGAAGTGGCACGCCTACGCGAGGACCTGACGCATGCGCGCAGCCTGTCTGAGAATGTGGAGCAGCTTCGTGAGCAGCGCGACACGGCACAGAGGCGGCTGCAGGACATGGAGCGGCGGCTCACGCAGCGGTCAGATGCCTTGCACGCCATGCAGATGGAGCTGGACAGGAAGGACAAGGGCATTTCGTCACTGCAGGACCTGCTCAGGAAGGCGGAGGTGGACGCGCAGTCCGCCTCGTCCTCGCAAGAGGCGATTGCGTCGTTGACACATGAGCTGAACAGCGCGCACGATCAGATTGCGCTTCTCCAGCAGCAGCTATCGGACCAACAGACAAAGGCGGCCAAGCGGCAGCAGCAGCAGCAGCAGCAGCAGCAGCAGCAACAGCAGCAGCAGGGCCAGGGGGACACCGTTGTCCTCACGCGGTCGGAGCACCGCAGGCTCTTGCAGGCAGAAGACAGCATGCAACTGATGTTGGAGACGGCCGGGGAGGGCCAGAAGCGTGTGACAGAGCTTCGAGACGCAAACGCGCAGCTGAGCTCGCAGTTGATGGCGGCAACAGAGGAGCGGGAGGCGATTCGCTCCCAACTCCGCCAGCGCGAGGATACCATCAGCACCCTCCACCAACAGTACGTGTGCATGTGTGTGTGTCTGTGTGTGTCTGTGTGTGTCTGTGTGTCTGTGTGTGTCTGTGTCTGTGTGTGTGCATGTGAGAGAGTGTGTGTGTCTGTGTGTGTGTCTGTGTGCGTGTGTGCACGCATTTGAGTTGCGAGCTTGCTTTAGTCTTTGTTTGTACTCGTCAATTTGTACACGTGCAAGGCACTCATAACCACCTTGGCTCTTGCTCCTCTTCTTCTTCTGTCGTATGTTTAGGATCACGGTGCTCGAGCAGCACATGCAGAAACAAGGCGGACAAATGCAATCCCTCCCACCAGGTGCATATGCATGTGTATTTGTATTGTGTGTGTGTGTGTGTGTGTGTGTTAGCTGGCTCTTCGTGCATGCACGCGTTCTTCCGGATATTTGTTGCCTGTGCGTGTCACGCGCGCACTGCCATTCGCGTTTGCTGCTCATGCTCACGTTGCTCTTTGCTGTGTGCTGCAAACAGGTGCGCTCCGGCTGGTGACCCGCGGCGACTTTGAAGTTGGCGATGTGATTCTGATTGAGCGCGGGATGGATGGCGCGTGGGTGCGGCAGGACGACTCGGCCACTGTTGTTATGGACGAGTATGTGACCAGCCTCCACCTCAACGACGCAGATGTGCCGAGCCCGCTTCCCGTGCAAGTGCTGATGGTGCACGACTTTGGACACACACAGGGCGTGGAGGTCACGCGCTGCCTCAACGACATGTGAGCTGTGTGACATGTGTTTTTTTTTTTTTGGGGGGGGGGTAGCGTATCATGTGCAGTGATTGTTTGTTTGTGTTGTCATGTGATGTGATGTGGTTGTATGTTGCTTCATGATGGGACAGGGCTGTTGTCGCTCTGTGTGTATGTGTGTGTGTGTATGTGTGTGTGTGTGTGTGTTGTTTATGTTGGTGCTTAATTGATGAATGACCGAATACACGAAATCGCACAAGAGCATCAGAAGACGATGGGAAGAGTGCACGTCGTGTAACACAGGCAGTTGGAGATGGAGAAGAAGGAACAAAGCGCAGCAGTGGCTGTTGGTTCGTTTACAGAGGCAGAAAGGGTGTGTGTGTGTGTGTGTGTGTGTGTGTGTGTGTGTGTGTGTGTGTGTGTGTGTGTGTGTGTGTGTGTGTGTGTGTGTGTGACAAGGTGAAGAACAAAGGAGAGGACCGCGTGGTCGGTTGATGTGAGGCGGTGGGGGGCAGGTGAGAAACACGAGCGCTATGAGATGCAGCATTCGCGAGCAGCAATCCGGCTTCGCCCCGTGTCGCGCGCCTGGGTTTTGATCTACAGGCACCATTTTGGAGTGCAGGTGAATTTGGATGTTGGGGAGGTGGGGCAATATGAGGTCAAGGGGATGGGAAGCACGTGAGTTCATGCATGCGCATGTGTGTGAGTTCACGAATGTGCGTGTGTATTTATGTGTCTGGATGAGAACCGTGCTGAAACTTGGCACGTGCTGATGGAGGTTCATGCCACACGTTGCATGTACATTCCAGGCGGGAACACACCTCTTCCAGTCGAGCAAGGTAGCGCTCAATGACCGAGTACAGCTGTTCCTGGAGCGGTCGATTCGGTGGCGGCCCGTAATTTCCTTTCACGCATTCCTGACAACGCACGCAACATCGACGGACACCGGTGGGCGTGTGAAGGATAATTTGGCAAACGCACAAACTTGCGCCACGCGCACACACGCCATCAAAGTACACCCAAGTCCTCTCCACACTCATTCACACACACACACGTACCAGTAGACGTTCGATGCCAAGTTCGTATTGCGCTCCCGCAAGCTCGTACTCATGTTGTTCGTCATACCGAAAGCCCTGAAGTTGTTGATGATGTTGTAAGAGTTGTTGCAGGTGATGTTGGTGTTGTTGTTGTTGGTGGTGGTGGTGTTGATGATGTTAACGTTGTTGTTGGTGATGTTGACGTTGTTGTTGACGTTGTTGTTGAAGTTGTTGTTGTTGGTGTTGCTATGTGCTGCCTTTGGAGCAATATGGGACGAGGACGAACAGCTGTTTTGACCCACGAGTTTGCACGACATCATGCAATGGACGCAGCGGCGCGTACATAAGAGCACACATCCACACACACACACACACACATACATGACAGCACACGCACCTTGTGAAGCGATTCAAATGCCGTTCTGAAGGCTTGGCGCAGGTCGTGTGTGAGTTCGGGAGAATGCACGAGCGATACGACGAGGTCGGACCCCTGTTGACATGAGCACATGTGCACATGCGCACGCAATTGCAAGCCAACAGTCGTGAGCGAGGTGATGTGGAATCAGATCTCTCCAAGTGAAGCGACACTGCACACACACACACGCACGCACGTACATGCACGTGTATGTACACACACACGCACGCACGTACATGCACGTGTATGTACACACACACGCACGCACGTACATGCACGTGTATGTACACACACACACACCACACACGCACCACACACGCACCACACACACACACACCACATATACATACACGCACCACACACGCACACACGCACACACACACACATATGCACACACACCATCTCTGGTGGGGCTGATGCGAGGAACGTTTGGTTTGCGCCAAGACTGCGCCGAAGTTTTGCCTTGAGCTCCTCCGCTTTGGTGATGGCTTCCTCGGCCTCCTGTGCTCACAGTGACATGCGCAATGATGATGATGATGATGATGATGATGATGATGATGATGATGATGATGATGATGATGATGATGATGATGATGATGATGATGATGATGATGATGATGATGATGAAGGCAACACGCTGGGTGACCTCGGGGATGCATGCGTGGTGGGCATGTGGGAGCTTGCGCGCTGGACGCTTGAAGGGTGATGAACAGCAAGATGAGATAGCATCACATCAACGGTACGCACGACGCACTTTGAAGAGCTTTTGCTCCTGTTGAACATCTGTTTCGAAGCAGGCAGCAGCAATCAGGTGCGGGGCAGCATCTGCAGTTGGGGCAGCATAGTGTACAGAGATAGTAAAGGTGGTTGAGCGAATGGATGGCTGAATGGCGTGAGTGGAGTCAGTGGAGGGAGCGCTGTGAGTGGAGTTAGCCACGCATGTCAACACAAGGACGTGACATGGATGATAGAGGAGTTCTCCTTGTGTAAGTGGGCCTGGCAAACACCCCATCGCAGGCGCTCAAGTCCAGAGGGCAAACAAGGGACAGGCCTCTAAGCATCGGAACATCCAAGGATACGCACCGCAGTAGCAGTCCAATGCACGCTTCAGCATGTTTGAGCGCTCAAATTCGTGGCCATGTCGCGCACTCTCCCTTCCCCTTTGAACACGGCAGGGCGCACAACTCCACGCGTGAGCGTGTGTGGACACGGCAGCCACCGCGATGGGTAATGACAACAAAACCAGCACGCGAGAATACAAAGTGCACACACACACACACACACACACACACACACACACACACACACACACACACACACACACACACACACACACACACAC